GTGTTGCCCTGTTGGGCATGGACATTGACTCACGATTCTTCTGTATCATTCTCAATTGGATGGTTACTCGGTTCCATTGTACTATCTGCTTTGGCTTTGACTACTTGGACTTCAGTGTGATTTTGTATTCTGGATTTCTGTGCTTCGTCCATACTCATGTTCCTTGCACAACAAAATGCAGTGCATATATGCAACTTCATTCGGGCGCCCATGGGAGTCAGGGAACTGGCCAGCCGCGAGCAGTCGACAACTTTTTGCAGAATATTTTGAAAGAAAAATAGAGAAGTATGCTGATCTTCGCAGGAAAAATATTAAAAATCTCTTTAAAAAATATATATATATCAGTGAGAGGATTCTGCAGACTGTCGAGGGTACAGCCTCCTGATGAGTCGGTGAAACTCCGACGAAACAGTTTGTCACAGCCCCTCGTTTGTTGTCCTCTTCTCTCTCTCTGCCTACGGTTTACCGGGCAGTTCTGTTTGTGACGATATATAATATATATATATATAGTCAAACAGAGCTGCCCGGTAAACCGTAGTCAGAGAGGGAGAAGGGGACACACACACACATACATATATACATATATAATATATCGTCAAACAGAGAGGCCCAGTAGACCGTAGGCAGAGAGGGGGGAGAAGAGGACAACAATGAGAGGGGCTGTGACCAACTGTTTCGTCGGAGTGTCACCTACCTACTCATCACCTACCTACTCATCAGGAGGCTGAATCCTCAACAGTCTGCAGAATCCCCTAACTGATTACAATGTAAGTCATGATCCACCTTAACCCCGGTTATGATTCAGCATCATCGACTGCCCGACAACTGATAGCCTGAGGTGGGCACCAATATATATATATATATGGTAACTGACCAGACGTCCGGACCGAGTTCCAGACAGTCCGTAACAACATGTCCAGGTTCGGTGTCCGGTCCGTGATGTCCAGATGGAGGCCCCCAGGGCAAAAAAAAAAAAAAAAGAGGAGCGCCCCAGGACGCTTTTTGGGTCCTGGCCGCCCCTTGAAAATTAACTTGATGATTTTTCAGTGTCGTTTCACCGGACAGGGCCTGGAGGCCCGGACACAAGACGCTGCAGGTCTTTCGGGTGGCGGGTTTCACACAGGAACGCGCAATTTCAAAGCGGTCGTTTCAAAGTGCCGCCCACCGCTGCTGCCCGTTGGGAGAGAGAGAGAGAGAGAGAGAGAGAGAGAGAGAGAGAGAGAGAGAGAGAGAGAGAGAGAGCACTGACAGTGCTGCCAGTCTGAAGACTCTGACGTTCTGAATTGAACTGCAAAGTTTGAACTTCAAAGTTATATGAAGTTATGAACTTGAATTACGCAATTCAAACTTCAAACTTCAAAGTTAATCAATGATCATACTTTTTTTCAATATTTTTTTTCCTCCGTTTCATTAGTCTTGAGCCTGCTTTGCACTGTTCGCAACTCTGCATGTCTGCTAGTTGAATGTGCTTGTTGATTTGCTGCAAGACTGGTGCTCTGCAGCCTGAACTACGAAGTGCTCTGCCTACCCCCCAACCCAACACCCCCCCCAAGCCTTTTTTTTTTACATTTTTGACCCCCTGACACCGACCCGGACTGTCCGCGTCTGGGCAATGTCCGGGTGTCCGGTGATGTCCGGATCACCGGACAGTTCCGACTCGTCCAGACACTAGTCCGGACGACAGCCCGGACGTGTCCCGTGTCCGGGTCCGCAGTTACCATGATATATATGGCAGCAAATTTGAGTAAATGAATGCATTTGAAAAAAAAACAAAATCACAGTTTTTGCTCCCTGCTGCTGCCGTTAGAACCACATCTTTTCGGTTCCGTGCACCAGGCGAGTAAATGAATGCACTTTTTAAAAAAAAATTGCTCCCTGCCGTTAGGAAAAAAAGTGTCAGTTGACACGGTTCCCTAAAATAGCTCTGAGGACAGTCTGCAAACTTTGCACCGAAAAGTTGTGAAAACAAATTAAATAATACATCGGCACCATCCTCTAAATCACTCTGGCCACTCTTTAACGCCTGCTTCTCAAAAAGTACCAGCCCTGCGAGTTTCGCCCATAGTACACGCTCTTTGAGTCTGCCCGCTAATACCATACAACATGACGTTGTAACAACAAGGGCCACGCAGTGCATCTGAACAGGAAAAAGAAAAAAGAAAAACGTGCAGTAATCCTCTCCATGAACATCGACTGCCCGAAAAAAAAAAAAAAAAAACAGACAAACAAACAAACAAACAAACAAACAAAGAAAAAAACAAATGAACATCGACTGCCCCCCTTTCCGTCTAAGTATCCAATATAAAACCTGATGGGGGAAAAAAACCTGCAGGGAGCAGTTTGTGCAACAACTGTAAAAGCCTTGTCCGGGCAGGCACAGACAATCACAACATAAGAAGCCCTGAAACCCACTTGTGACAAGCGGCACCTACAGCAAAAGCACCCTGGCACCTGTACCATTCATGCTGCTCCAAAACATAAACAGCCTGAGAGATCTCACTCACAGTCAAACACTATCCGAGATCGCCGACAAGTTTTCCACACTGAACCGCTGGCTTAGACCACCACTACGTCCCACGGCACACCAGGAGCTCTATTACCTTGAGAACCATGGCTCTCTTCCCACACTATGCACTCCAAAATGTACCGCCTACAGCAGTCTCACCCGTAGCATCAACACTCCGCACCCACCTAGAAACATCTCGTAGCGCTAGACGGTGTCTCAGATATGACAACCAAGCCATGCGATCAAAAGGATACCTTGATGCGATTGAGACCTATGCATGAAACAAATACACACTCACTCTAGAAAAGACACCCTAGCTAACATGCACTCTGCCCTAAACCCTAAACCCTAAGCCCTAAAACCTAAGCCCTAAGCTCTAAAAGGCAACACTCAGCCCTAAACTCTTCGACCTTCAGCCCCAAACCGTAAACCCTAAAGCCAGCAACCTTCGGACTGCCTATGGGAACTAAAAACCTGCAGTACACACTCACTCAGCATCCTTGCATGGGATCTACAACACGAGGACTCCGCGCGCTAAAAGGGAAGAAAGGGGGAGGGGGGAAGGGGATGATTGGGGGGAGAAGAATGTCACCCTGGTCAAAGGCAACCAATCCATCTGAACAAAAGTGTTGCCTCTGTGAGTCTGTGTATAACCGAGTCTGTCAATGTCAAAGGAAAGTTGCGTCAACTGTGCATCAAGTGTGTGTGTGTGTGTCCGCATGTTCACCAGGGTTCGAACTCCTGACTTATCACTGGTGCATTTGGCCTAACCACCAGCTACCGTCTTCACCCGAAAATAGCGCCCGAGCGTTATATTTACCTTACCCTGAAAAGATGAGATTTTTGTTTTTACTCACTTTTTTCAAATAGAATGCCCCTTCCCCGTGCGGGCGTTATATTCGAATAGAACGCCCGGGCATTATATTGGAATGTTCCATGGGAAGAACGTCTTGAAGAGGTAGTATACATGGGTTTGAAGGGCGGGGAAGGGGGGGTATGGATGGGTTTTGAAGAGGGTTGAATGGGGTTTTGAATTCCACACGGGGTATATGACGGCTTGATTTTTTGTTTTTAATTTTTATTTCCGAGTTTATGAGGAATTCTGAAGTGACCCTCAGCCAAAAGTTGGTCGCATTGCACTCCTGGACAACTTTGTTTTTTTTTTTACAGAATTTTTTATTTTTGTTTTCCGGAATTTTGGGCCCTCACCGAAGTTACCACGAATTTACTGAATATAACGCCCGGGCGTTATAAACGAATATAACGCCCAGTCGTTATTTTCGGGTGAAGACGGTAGTAATCCAATCTTCCATCAATATATGTTCCCAGCGAGTGGTCACAGTGTGATCCTTGCCATGGTTTATTTTTCTTTTTCCTTTTTTTTGGGCCATGGTATCTTTGTTTACATGGCCAGGATTGCTATGTGGTCTTATCCATATATCGGCTGCAGCCAAAAAATCAGACCATTTCTCGATTGATGCGTGTCATCCTTCCGCAGGGGCCATGCTAATCTTCTTTCTCTGTATCGTTCCAATTTTAACGGATGTCCCGAAGGACGGCTGCAGCCAAAAAGAAAGGCCCGAAACGGAAAACGAGCCGCCCATGAAATTTATCAACGGCCGCCTGATCCCGCTTGGCTTCCGAATATATACCAGCGCGTATTTTATTTTCAAGCGCGGAAAGGTACTGGGGGTTTAAGACACGCATAGGCCCTAGCACTAGGTCAAGCGCTCCTCAGGAAGAGGTCCATATCAAGCTTCAAACTTCTGGCAGCATGTGTATCAGAGACGGGCGGGCCGATAGACTACTGTGGGCTCCGTGCTGTTGTAAGACATAGGGCGAGATCCCACTGGCAAAGAGGATTGCAGTAAGTGTCTGAATGTGGACGTGTTTGTGGACAGGTGCCAAAAACTGTGATTGATCTACTTTTCTGCACCTCGGCGTGGAACACGTCCCGATTCAGACACTTCTTCCAATCCTCTTTGCCAGTGGGATCTGGCCCATAGTCAGTAGGCCCAACCACTAAGGTGGGGCAGAGAAATCCAATGCTACAGACTTTCATGAGACGTGGTCTTAAACATAAACCCCAAGTACTTCCTAGAGTCGTGCCCGTTAACGCGCCACGATTTTAGGAAACGCACGGGCTACTACAGGAGCGCCCAAATTCATCCGACTAGAAACATTTCTACTCTATTTTTTCCCGCGGCCGATAGCTGGGCCAAGTACTGGTGGTCTTAGTCTTAAACCACCAGTGCATGGCCCCAGCCAAGTTGAGAATCCGATTGAGGCTCTCCTAGAATTTCAGACGCTCGGGACAGGGTATCAAAAGGGCCAGCAGAGAAGAAGAAGAGAAAAAAAAAGGGGGTAACTTCAGTAGGAGTCACAAAAACGAGTTATAATTGCACTATGGGACAAGATACAGTTTGCAATTGCACTTCGGGCACCCTACCTGGCCAGAAAGCTGGGTTATATACATTGCCTGAACTGCAATTGCAAACTGTATCTTGGCCCATACTGCAATTAAAACTCATTTCTGTGACTCCCGCATAGTTCT